GTTTCGATAAAAGCGCAAAACAAGTTTCTCCTTTGATTATCGCGATTTTTTTTGGAAAGTGGTACAGGGAAAAGTCTGAGAGCAGTTCGTTGTGGGTTATCGGCTATGGCGAATCGAATGAGCACATGTAGAGACATGTGCGATGTACTTTTTCCCATATGTAAGCGTTATTCCCACGGAAAAACCATAAAAAATCAATCAGTTTTTGATGTTGGGGGCCACAGAAAAACCGCTGTAAAACCCTCAAAAACCATCGTAAAACCAATAAATCATGGTGCACTCGAAAGCAGATGTGTTGGGCTATACAACTGTGCATAAATATCCAAATCGATTTTTTTGTCGAAAAATGTTTTTTTTGAGTGGTGGGGGCCCTTAACGCTGGAAATTATTTTGCTTGAAGATTAAAGCTAAAAATGAGCAGAACTGACAGACAACAATTTCCATATAAACTTAAGATGTAATCCAGTATCCAGTAGATTTTATGTAGTATTTTGACCTGTTTTCAAGTGGTCACTTTAAGATGACGAACTTTACGAAAAATAACTTCGAAAACATAAATATTTGTACTTGGGGAAAAGCAAGAATCTTGGAATATTTATATTTTTATCTATGAAAAAGTACAAAAGTATGAGTATTTTTGTTTTGTTACACTTTTATCTGCGGAACAACAGAATTAGTCGGTTTCAACTCTGGATTATGGAAAATATAGGTTAATTTTCTACCGGACTTTCGTGGTATCCTATGAAACCGTCCCTTAAATACCTGGAAGAAATTCAATTCATATATACTCAGAACATGTTCCCAGACATCACCAAGGTCGATTTACAGCTAAACAAGTCATGTCTGTATTAGAACTATTACTTGAACAAGTCGCTTTTTTTAGACAAACGCAATCTGGTTCCGTGGTATTTGATGTAGGTAAAAGACTTAAGCTTTTAAATTTTAGAAGTTTTATATTGTTCTCATCATGTTAGAATGTAATGCACAAAAAAATATGAACGTTATGATAAAAAATCTATTTTTACAATTCGATATCGGTTTTAGCATTATTTCTCAGTTAATACTTGACTTTGACAAAACCGTCAATATTCGTTCGACACATTGGACAAATTGTCAATGAATGTGCACAAGGAACACATGTACAAAGATGTCCGCATGGTATAAATGTAATTGTTTTCTCATCTTTGTAACAAATAATACATATATTTTCATCATTTAATTCTCGTTGTGGATGATCTAGGTACTTTTAATATAAATGCAACGTGCTGTGACATAAAATTGATAAGCATACAGACCTTTCATTGAAATTTTACTTGGCTCTCCTGTCTCAATCACACACTGTAAAGAGGACTGTTCCTTTGACTTTTTAAAATATTTTAATGTCATTTTATCGATCCATTTATTACCAAAGCATTTAGATGAATTTAATAACTTTCCATGATTTGGTTTTAATATTTGCTCATAATTTGTTGAAAATAATTGTTTCATTAATATATCACTCATTTCAATGAGAAATTTCGTTCATACTCATGATTATGTACACTTCTTAAATTAGAAAAATATGAAACTACTTTAGGGCCTGTTTTCAATATATTTTTACACGCAAAAGTAATGCAATGGTAGTCGATAGTTTGTTGGAAATAACCAAACCTAGTAGTATGTTACATATTATAAGCAAATATGATTGCTCACTTCCCTTTTCTTTTGAAAAAAACAAAAATATAAAGAGAAATAACGTTTCTAGGAAGAGAAACAAAATGCAACGAATATCATTTTTATTTTTCGTTCTTCTGAATGACGAAGTATGACATTAGTTGGTATATTCTTAATAATGCAAATGTTTATATATAAATAGAAACATGTTATCATATTTTTACTTTTATTATAATCAGTAAGTTTCGAGGAGAAAATATCCTCGTTTTAACCTTCTTATCCGGTACTGTATTTGTAGAGAACTAAAACCAAAGTCGAGGCGTATAAAAATGAGCTTTGTAAATCATAGACACACAAGTACACTTGTAAGAGAACTAACTGAAGCAAAACCAACAGGTACAGTCGCTTTATTAAACATATACTTAGTGCACGTTAGACTGACTAACATATACTTCAGGGATCTATCAGTCGATCTCATTTGTGTCAAAAAAACCTAATAAACGAAAAGACCGAAAACAAAACGAGGATGACGAACCACAACAAAAACAACGGCTTATTCAGGAAGAGCCGTTTGAAACTGAAAGACTTTGCGAAGTTCGACGACGGACATTTTCTAACTGGTCACATTCCATGCCATCAAAACAAGATATGATTTCTGCCGGTTTTTTTCTATGTAACGGCTTCGATGATCGTGTGATTTGTATTTATTGCAATGTTATTTGTCAAAAATGGCTCCACACTGATAATCCTATTGATATTCATAAGCTGTTATCCCCAGATTGTCCGTTTATGCAACACGAAAAGAGTATAACAACATTAATTCAGTCCGATACAGCTTCAGCAGAAAAGGAAGAATTATGTAAGATTTCACAGTTTATAGGAATTTCATGAAACTATTATTTGCCGCTAAGTCAAAGACTTTGCTGCAGGAAGTGCCCCCATTTTTTAATACTTTTGAAGTCTTCTGTTTTTTTCAATGGAATAACGGCTGGTGTAGACTAAACTGCCACCCGGTGCAAGGATTTTTTCCAGGTAACTTTTGCAACACTTCCAGTCATGTGTTTTCTTAAAATAATCATATGCCATTTTTGCAGCAGCATTAATACCACTGTAAGTCATAAAAAGCTTGCTTATTTCACTGAAAAATTAGAAACTTTTGAAAACAAATTTTTGCCCAGTAAAAATTTGTTTAGAAAATTAGTTCTAGTCATACAAGATGCAGAAGTTTTCGGTGTATCCGGTGGTAATGGATTTAGAATTTCAAATTCCACCAGATACCAATCTGTGTATTGATTGACTCGGTTTATTAGAAAATGGCAGAGTTGAAATATTTTCCTAGAAAGTAAAAGGCGCCAAAAGCTGATAAAGAGCCAAATTTTGTGGGCGACCATTGCTCTAAAAATTAATCTGTACTCAAATAATTTAATTTACTCACGCTGTTAACGTTGTGTTTGAATCATGTAATAATGCTACTTAACAACTAAAATCCATATTTTTGACTGAGAAAGTGCTGAGTAGTAGATAGCTTTGAGACTTACAGCACTTTTAATGCTGCAAAATAGGAACAAATGCTTATTTTAAGAAAAACATGACTGAAATTCAAGCAAAGTTTCTATTATTCAGCATCAAAGCAAAATTTTTTGATCAGTTTTAGCTTGGAGAAAACTCTTGCAAAGGGCGGTACTTTTTCTAGATCCTTCGTTAAGTGTTTCATTAAGTAAAGTTTTTTCAAAACGATAGCGAATCAGAGTAAAAACATTATATTGTGGGAAGTTTTGAAAACTGAATAAACTGCGCTGACAAGGTATTTTGGGGTGATATATTTTTAGTACCATTGTCACTAACCGAAGCTACGTTATCAAAAGTGGTGGAAGCGAAATTAATATTACCTGAGATACAGGAAATAAGCACGCAATTTCGGCCTGATGTTGTTAAAAGGTGTTATGAAGATCAATATCGTTATAAAAGTATGCAAGTTATTTTCAGTTGCCCGTCTTTACTTAAAATAAATTTTAAACAACAATGATTTAACTGTCCTACTTAGGAACTGATTTTCAAACTGTCGATGATTTAATTGTGTCTTGTCTTATTCTGGAAAAGCAAATCGACCATATTAATGCTAATCCAGACAATCTGATTATTCCTAGTCAGATATATGAGAAACAAGAGAAACAACGTTTAAGTATGTTATATTTCATATTTTATTGTTAACATTGGACTAGTGTCGAATTCAACTTTTGAACTACATTTTTTGAATTTGACTTAGACTTTTTATTTTGCAGACATTTTCGAATTTCCACTTCAAATTCGAAACTCGACTTGAACCTTCCGTTCTACACTGAAATGGATAAAGGCTATGTTCACACTACGAGTTAAGCAGCTTAATTTTTTCGGCTTAAGGATTCTGATTGGTGCCTTTACGAAGAAAAAGTTAAGACACCAATCAGAATCCTTAAGCCGAAAAAATTAAGCTGCTTACCTCGTAGTGTGAACATAGCCAAAAATATTGTTTGTTTTATGGATTAAATATTCCTTTCTACACTCACTCTCGTTACCAACCATTTCCCTCGAAGTATTTTCTATTAATCATACAAAAAATATTTTGATAGTGTAAAAGTCGAAGTTGAATTTCAAATTCAAAAATTCTTAACCAGATTTTTTCGAACTTCGAATTCTAATTCATCTTTTGACATTTGTATGCATGCAACATTGATACCCGCTATTTTTAGCTGAATACCTTACTTATCGTCGACGATCATCTTCTGTTGTGCTTGATGAACAAACGCCATTTCTAGAATTCGAGCCGATAATTCGAGCACGAGAGCGATCATTTCTTAAACAGAACACTTCGTGTACAATATCGAGAAAAGCGATGATAACAGCTGGATGGTTTTCCTGTAAATACAATGACCGTGTTTTCTGTACTTATTGCCTAGTTGTATGCCAAAATTGGTCAAAAGATGATGATCCGTACGAAATCCATCAATTATTATCACCGAACTGTCCATTCATTCAATCGCAGAATCAACTTTTATCAAAGGAAATTCCAATTATTAATGAACAAATATCAGTTGCCACTATCGTTAATAGTGAAATTATCAAACATTCAAAATTACCCTTTGCCAAAGTTATAGAACGTGTAAAATCATTCCATCGTTGGCCAAATAAACAAATGACTGAACAACTTGTGAGAGCTGGCTTTTACTACTCCGGTTATGGGACAATTGTGACATGTTTCTGTTGTAACATATCATTAACCAAAATGGGACCAAACCATAATTCGATGATCGAACATGCACGATATTCTCCTAATTGTCCATACATAAAACAATTATGTGGCGATCAATTATTTGAACAAATTCAACAGTTATACTCTTCTAATGCTATCCGAACTGTTATTGAGAATCAAACAAACGGAACCTGCTCTCAAACACATCAAATTGTAAAACAGGATGATTATTACTGCCTAACTAAATGTAACAATCTCGACGTACATGTTAAAATAGCTTCGTACACACTCCAAAATGTTCCGTCACAAGGTGAGTTTGTCTTCACAAAAATTCATGTTTGTCCTCATTTTTAACTTATTTAGAAGAGTGCGGGGAAATAATTGAGTGTCAGATTGCAAGAATAAATCATAATCCTGGAATGGTTATCACACCGAGTGTAGCAAAAACAATTCTATCAAACATTAGTGTATCCACACGAGTATCAACACTCAACGGTAAATAATCAAAAAAAAGAATCTACAACATTTCGGCTGAAATCTGTCACTTTACTTTTCCGAGTTGATGATATGCCTAGATAAATCATTTATTGTTCATACCTTCTTATATACACATAGTAGTCTCTTTTATAATATTCGTTCATTCCTACACATTCTTTTACATACGTTGTACCGACACAGAAATCGATAGACAAGACGTCCGAACGTCTTCTCATGTGCATTACGGACAAGTAACGGACGGTGATTCTTGATTTAGTTGACCTCTTAGTTTAAGCATTCGATAGAAAAAAAGGTTAGTATAAAAATATTTGTCAAAGAAAAGCAGTATGCCTAAGGTGATAAAACTGTTGAACTTTTCCAACTATCCTTTTCAAAATACAATAGTACCCGTTGTTTTCTTGATAACTTTTGACTGAGACGTGCTAGCGAGCTGCGGTTTTCATTTTCTGAAAGTAAAATGTTGGGGCTATAAGAAAATTTTCCGAGCATCTGCAAATGGTA